GCCCCTGCGGGCTGCGCCCATCGGGCGCCAGGCACTTCAGCACCAGCCGGGGGGCCCGGGCCAGGTAGGGCACCACCTGCAGGTAGAAGTCGCCAGGGCGCAGCTGCTGCCAGGGCAGGGAACTCAGCTGCACCACAACCTTCTCGTGCAAAGAGAGTGGCCAGCCCTCGTGACAGAACACGAGGCCCTGGTACTGGGCCTGTGGGGGAGAGAAACTGAGTCAGGGCCACAGACAGACAGAGAAGCCCCTCCCCAGGCCTGGCCCACAGACGGACAGACAGCCCTCGTGACAGAACACGAGGCCCTGGTACTGGGCCTGTGGGGGAGAGAAACTGAGTCAGGGCCACAGACAGACAGAGAAGCCCCTCCCCAGGCCTGGCCCACAGACAGACAGACAGCCCTCGTGACAGAACACGAGGCCCTGGTACTGGGCCTGTGGGGGAGAGAAACTGAGTCAGGGCCACAGACAGACAGAGAAGCCCCTCCCCAGGCCTGGCCCACAGACAGACAGACAGCCCTCGTGACAGAACACGAGGCCCTGGTACTGGGCCTGTGGGGGGAGAGAAACTGAGTCAGGGCCACAGACAGACAGAGAAGCCCCTCCCCAGGCCTGGCCCACAGACAGACAGACAGCCCTCGTGACAGAACACGAGGCCCTGGTACTGGGCCTGTGGGGGAGAGAAACTGAGTCAGGGCCACAGACAGACAGAGAAGCCCCTCCCCAGGCCTGGCCCACAGACAGACAGACAGCCCTCGTGACAGAACACGAGGCCCTGGTACTGGGCCTGTGGGGGAGAGAAACTGAGTCAGGGCCACAGACAGACAGAGAAGCCCCTCCCCAGGCCTGGCCCACAGACAGACAGACAGCCCTCGTGACAGAACACGAGGCCCTGGTACTGGGCCTGTGGGGGGAGAGAAACTGAGTCAGGGCCACAGACAGACAGAGAAGCCCCTCCCCAGGCCTGGCCCACAGACGGACAGACAGCCCTCGTGACAGAACACGAGGCCCTGGTACTGGGCCTGTGGGGGGAGAGAAACTGAGTCAGGGCCACAGACAGACAGAGAAGCCCCTCCCCAGGCCTGGCCCACAGACAGACAGCTCTCGTAGCAGAACACAAACCCGTGGTACTGGGCCTGCGCAGGGAGAGAAAACGAGTCAGGGTCCACAGACAGACACGCTCCGGCACGTGCCGGGCCTGCCCAGACAGATAGCCCACACTCGTGGCAGAACATGAGATCGCAGTACAGGGCCTGCGCAGGGAGAGAGACTGAGTCAGTGGGCCACACAGCCTGGGACACCCAGAGCTGGGCCTGCGAGGCGGACCCTTAGACACTTGCCCCTCTGCCTGCTAGGGAAGACACCCACATGCCAGGCCACAGATACCCCCAGACACACAAAGGGCCAGACATGTGCACGGATGGACAGACTCACACAGGCCTCCTGCTGGATGCGTGCCAAGATGTGCTTGGCAGGTATGAGGAATTCGAGGGTGTAGCGCAGGGCATCCTCCCGGTAGGTCCGCTCCACCACCTCAAACACCTGCCCCAGCAGCGTGGGCGCCGTGGCTGCAAAGGGTGGGTACAGGGCCGAGAGTGTGTTCTGCACACAGTCCTCCACCGGCTCAGGCTCCTGCCGGCAGTAAGGACATGGCACCGCTTTACAGCCCAGCGTGCTCCCTGCCAGCCCAGAGAGGACCCAGGAGTCCTGGCTCCCAGCCCCCCTGCACTCTGCTCCAACCCACTAGACTCCTCCCCTCAGCCCAGAGAGGACCCAGAAGTCCTGGTCCTGGCCCCCACCACCCACAGGCGAACTATGGCCCAGCAGACCTTGGATTCTGGCCCCTGAGCTCCTGCCAGAGAGTAGAAAGGGAGGGGGGGAAGAGGGGGAGGGCTTTGCCTTGCCCCGCTCTGTATGACTCCGGGAAACAGGAGCAGACAAATGACTCCACACATTGCCCCCCCCCCCAAGCACCTGCTCTGCAGCTCCCATTGGCTGACAGAACACGAGGCCCTGGTACTGGGCCTGTGGGGGGAGAGAAACTGAGTCAGGGCCACAGACAGACAGAGAAGCCCCTCCCCAGGCCTGGCCCACAGACAGACAGACAGCCCTCGTGACAGAACACGAGGCCCTGGTACTGGGCCTGTGGGGGAGAGAAACTGAGTCAGGGCCACAGACAGACAGAGAAGCCCCTCCCCAGGCCTGGCCCACAGACGGACAGACAGCCCTCGTGACAGAACACGAGGCCCTGGTACTGGGCCTGTGGGGGGAGAGAAACTGAGTCAGGGCCACAGACAGACAGAGAAGCCCCTCCCCAGGCCTGGCCCACAGACAGACAGCTCTCGTAGCAGAACACAAACCCGTGGTACTGGGCCTGCGCAGGGAGAGAAAACGAGTCAGGGTCCACAGACAGACACGCTCCGGCACGTGCCGGGCCTGCCCAGACAGATAGCCCACACTCGTGGCAGAACATGAGATCGCAGTACAGGGCCTGCGCAGGGAGAGAGACTGAGTCAGTGGGCCACACAGCCTGGGACACCCAGAGCTGGGCCTGCGAGGCGGACCCTTAGACACTTGCCCCTCTGCCTGCTAGGGAAGACACCCACATGCCAGGCCACAGATACCCCCAGACACACAAAGGGCCAGACATGTGCACGGATGGACAGACTCACACAGGCCTCCTGCTGGATGCGTGCCAAGATGTGCTTGGCAGGTATGAGGAATTCGAGGGTGTAGCGCAGGGCATCCTCCCGGTAGGTCCGCTCCACCACCTCAAACACCTGCCCCAGCAGCGTGGGCGCCGTGGCTGCAAAGGGTGGGTACAGGGCCGAGAGTGTGTTCTGCACACAGTCCTCCACCGGCTCAGGCTCCTGCCGGCAGTAAGGACATGGCACCGCTTTACAGCCCAGCGTGCTCCCTGCCAGCCCAGAGAGGACCCAGGAGTCCTGGCTCCCAGCCCCCCTGCACTCTGCTCCAACCCACTAGACTCCTCCCCTCAGCCCAGAGAGGACCCAGAAGTCCTGGTCCTGGCCCCCACCACCCACAGGCGAACTATGGCCCAGCAGACCTTGGATTCTGGCCCCTGAGCTCCTGCCAGAGAGTAGAAAGGGAGGGGGGGAAGAGGGGGAGGGCTTTGCCTTGCCCCGCTCTGTATGACTCCGGGAAACAGGAGCAGACAAATGACTCCACACATTGCCCCCCCCCCCAAGCACCTGCTCTGCAGCTCCCATTGGCTGGGAGCCATGGCCAATGGGAGCTGCAGGGGCAGTGCCAGCAGAGTGCAGCACGCATGGCCTCACTGCCACATGGGAGGATGCAGCCCCTTCCTACAACCCAAACCTCTCATCTACAGCCCCTCCCCATAGCATGGATCTCTGCTGAAGCCCTGACCCCCCTGCCGAAGCCCTGATCCCCCTCAAACCCTTCTATCCAAGCTTGGAGCCCCTTTCTGTGCCCCAAACACCTCATCCTCAGCCCCCCTCCAGTTTTGTGAGCTTTCCTGGCCCTCCATACACGTTCCAAACATAGATGTGGCCCGCCCCTGGCTTCCAGCCCCCCAGCTCTAACCTCTCGCCCAGACCTGTCGGCTGGGGGCCCGGCCCCGGGCCAGTGCTGAGCATGCTGGGGCCAACCCAGCCCAAGCTGGGACGACATGAGCGCAACTGGGCGCTGAGCAGAGTCTCCGGCACCAGCTGCAGGCCATTCACC